TGTGTACCTGTAAGAGCTTTTGGAATTATTTCCCTGGCTTGGAAAGGCGGCTTCTGATTTTTTGGGGAAGAAAGGCATCTTATAAACACTGAAAGACTATATTGTACTTTTATTTGGACACTAAAAAAGAAAAAAGAAGGAAAAGGTTTTCTCTTTCCTCTTTTTTTAAGAACTCTACTGTTTCTATTTTTTATATATATATTATACTTTAAAAGACAGAAAAAAGGAATTGATTTTTGGAAAAGACTTTCTTAACTCACTGAGGGCATCTAATGGCGAAAATGTAATACTGCAACTTTGCTTATTTTTCTACTGAATTTCAAAACACTAAAAATAAGCTGTGCACCTGTGAAGCTGTAGGGGTGGATGTTTTTGCATTAAATAAAGCCTCTACAAAAAAGAAAAAGAGATTTTCTTTTAAGCATTAGTATTAAAATGGAGAAACCTCAGATACAACTGAACTATGCACTTATATTGGAAAAGATTTATGAGGCCACTGCAGAAATTTGTGCTACATTCAAAAACTGTACTTTAGAATTAAGATCCAGAGACTCTACTACATCTGTTCAAACTGATGTCCAGGTTACAACTGACTAAGGCATAAATCAAAATTTACCGGAAGAGGAATTTACAGAGATAGAAGTGGAATTTATTTCATCTGACAATCCTTTCTTCAGCAACTTAGAGAACCAGAAGAAGCAAAGACCAAGACCTCAAAATACAAAGCAACTATACCGCAAGGAGAACAGAAAAAGACGTTTACTGCAGAGGAAGGGATTTATATTTTCTCAAAGATTACTACAAGCAACAAGAATGGATCTATTGGTTGAAAGGGAAAAAAGATGTTTACTGCAGAGGAAGGGACTTATATTTATTCAAAGATTACTACAAGCACCAAGAATGGACTTATTGGTTGAAAGGGAAGCGCTTTTATGGAAGCCTGTGTGGCATAGAAAGAAACCCAGAATTAGACTGAAAAAGAAATTCAAAAATGTTTAATGGAGTAAAAGGCAATGCTGATTTTATGGATTGTTTTAAGGATAATGATCTAGAGTTAGGAGTAAGAAAAATGCAATTATATACATGTGTGTTTAAATTAGTAAGTGCTTAAATTGATTAGGTGATTTTTCTGTATAATAATATGATCTAATAAGGTATGATAATTAATTGGATGGAATTTGAAGTTTGTGTAATGAATTGAAAGGAATTAAGGTTTAACATTATTATTTTTTTTCTTTTCTCTCTTAATTAAGTCAGTTATAATTATATACATATGTGTTTAAATTAGTTAGATTTTTTTTTGTTGTATGGAAATTTGTTTGGATAAAAGAACCTTGGCTCTATGGATTGTATTAAGGATAAAAAATATATAATCATATATAATGTGATCACCAGGAAAAATAATAAGTTAAAGTTTTAAATATAAAACACTAAAAGTTTTAAATATAAAACATTAAAATTTTAATAAAAAGCAGACCTAGCTTTCGTTGGCTCCTGCCAACATCAGCAGGGTACAAATGAATCAATGGAAGAAACATTTATAGGCACGCCAGCGCATGCGCTCGACTTCTAGACCGTGTAACAGGTCCTAACCGACCAATCACTGTGTCTACGCTAATCTCTACACAATTAGTTAATTTGTCCTCATCCCCCTTGTCTACATGCGTATTGGCCGCTACTTCTCCACTTTTCCGCATCCATGATGTGAGAGGGCAATCGGTCTTCCTCCAATCCAGCATGCAACCATCATCGTCGAATTGTTTCCCCCTCTCCTCTTCCTTGAGATATTCTATATGGACGGATCCCTTCCCCCCTCCAACCTTTTGATGTCCGTCATCGTTGTTCTCATACTCTCTATTCCGAGGTTTCATTGCAAACAACCTGCACGCACTCTCACTGCTGGATTCCCTTTCACACTCCATCTTTCTAACCTCCCCACTGTCACAATCCTTTAAAGCGCCCATCCCCTTCCTGCCTGTGATGGTTCCTAATCCATTCCAAGGGCTGATCTGTGATTCCTGCTGCCCGTTAAACGGAGCGATAGGCTTTCCTCAGGGTGGTCGTTTCAGCACACGATCTAGTTGGTATTTTTTGCCCTTCCCCCCCATGAGTTTTAATGTGGAGTCTGGTCTAGTGGTCGTGTTTTCGTCTTTCTTCATCCGCTGCGCTGCCATTCGGAAGCGTGTAGTCATTCCTGGGACAAGGAGCTCGCAAACGCTCTCTTTCCATGTGACAATGGGGGGTGTGGCTCCCTTCGGATGCAGGGAATAAGGTGGGGGATCCAACTCGCGCACCATTCTACTTCTGTCTTGCGATGTTTCCGCCACTTCACACGGGCACGAATGCGTCCCTGACGGGCAAGTAAAGGAATCAATAGTAATGGAGGCTTCCATGGGAGTGGAGGGAGTATCCAAGTCGATGGGGGTCAAGTCCTTAAGGTTGATGGGTTTCTCCATATGTGGTGGACATGTCTCCATTCTCACAGTCGGGAAAGTCTCTAATCGTCAGTTGTTATTCCCGTGGGTATTAATTCTCTGAGGTGAGGGAATGGGACTGCCACTATGGAATTGTCTACGCCATGGTGGTCGGGTGCAAGCTTCCCATGCCTTCAACGCTATATGTGCAGGGCATAGGTCTATGTGGCAATTGATGGATCCTTCACACGAGAGCCAGGCCTCCTTTAGTAATCTGCCATTCTTCGTGGTGTCATTGGCCACCACCTTCACCCCATCGAAATCAAACCTATGGCCAGACTCTATCATGTGTGTCAAAATTTGGGAGTATTGCTCCCCTCTTCTTATGGCCAACTTGTGCTCTTGGATCCTTGTCTTAACCCTCTTAGAGGTCTCACCCACATAATTGCTGGGGCAGTTATTACAATTAATTTTGTACACCACCCCAGATTTCTCCACTGTGGGGAGTGGATCCTTGGGTCTCATAATGCAAGAGCGCAGTGTCCGGTTAGGTTTGTGTGCCACCCTAACATTGTAGGGTGCCAACAACCTAGCAGTGGCTTCCGAGATGTTATTAACATAAGGGAGGGTGACAGGTGTCGTCTGAGATGGTAAAACCTCCATCTGTGAACCATTGGGGGTTTTAGACAGAGCACCATGGCGTTTAATAAATTTGGTGGGATACCTGTTATGCCTGCAGACATGGAAGAGGTGTTGCATTTCTTCCACTCTGGCTTTGGCTGTATTGCAGTGGGAGTCCACTCTCTTAAAGAGTGTTCTAATACAGCTGACTTTATGGGCCACCGGGTGGTTGCTGTAATAATGTAAGACCCTATCAGTGTGTGGGGGTTTACGGTAGACTTTGGTTCTCAGGGTACCATCGGGTTAGCGGTGGATTAGAACATCCAAGAACGCCAACCTACCCTGGTGTTCTTCTTCCTCCGTAAACTGTATATCCGCACACACTGAATTAATGTGCCCACAAAGTCAGTTTTCCGACTCCTCTTAATGATGACAAAAGTGTCATCCACATAGCGGGCCCAGAACTTGGGGTGATACTGGGACATCGCCACGTGCTCTAATTGCTGCAAAATAGCTTTGGCTATAATGCTCGAAATTGGGGATCCCATGGAGGTACCCTTAATCTGCTCATATGTGATGCCCTGAAACGTAAAATAGGTTTTCAAGCACAATCCCAAAAGGTCCACAAGGTCATTAGGGCTTGAAAACTTATTTTACGTTTCAGGGCATCACATATGAGCAGATTAAGAGTACCCCCATGGGATCCCCAATTTAATTTAATCCCCAAGGAATTAAAGTTTAATATTGTTTTTTTTAATCAAGTTAGTTATCAATGGAAGAAGAAATAAATGAGATTGGTGATAAGAAGAGGCTGAGAGAGATTAAGAACTTGAATATACTTGGTAGAGATATTTGAAGTGATAATTTGTTGATGTAAAACAATATTTGATTAAGGTAATTTTAAATTGATAAAGCTTTAAAACAGGTTGAGTAGTAATAGAAATTTAAGCTAGAAATGGAATATATTAAATCTATTATGTCATTTGTGAGAAATAGAGAGATGATAGTGAATGTATTAAGTTGAGCTGTTTATGTATGTTTTTTACCTTGAAATGTTTGTTTATCCAAACACCATGGTGCGTTTTAAGTACTTTTTGTTAAAATTAAAAAACCAATAAAATATATTTTTTTTGAAAAAAAGAACTAAGGACAAGTTTCCTAATGATGAAAGCAATCAGTCAACGGAATAGCTTGCTTTCAAAAGTTGTGAGTGCTCGGGCCATCACTGAAGACTTTCAAAACGGGATCGGGCAACCATTTGTCTGAAATGGTATAGGGTCCCCTACTCAAGCAGGGCATTGGACTAGAACAGTGTTTCTCAACCTTGACAATTTTAAGGCATGTGGACTTAAACTCCCAGAATGCCACAGTCCACAAGCCTTAAAATTGTCAAGGTTGAGAAACACTTGACTAGAAGAACTCCCAGGTCCCTTCCAATTCTAATATTCTATGTTCTAATATTCTATGTTCCAAGGAATTACAAACTCTTCATTCTGATTTTAGTGATGGGGAAATTACTAGAACATACCTTGGTATTCCTATATTTATGTGGTAGTTTAGCAAGAATCTATCGATTTTTTTTTCTTTAAACAGCAACGCAATAGAACAAGATCAGGGACTTAGCCCTGGCTGGCAACTAATGCTATACACCCGTCATTGATCATGGAGAAGAAATGCTGGCCAACTCTGCTTACATTTCTATGCTTATGTCTGAAATAATTACATTTATTTCTGAAAATGAGAGAAATGCTTGAAACATATCTCCTTTATAGGTTATAACATAAAAACCACAAATACAGTAAAACAAAATGGCATGGAGTGTCTGCTTAGGTAAGTAAATAGTTAAGCAACAGTGCTAGAGCTACGGTTGAATTTTTGGCAAAATCCCATATACCATATAGCAGTGATGCCCTCCTTGAACTTAATATATTACTTGGTTGAATCATTACCTAATTGGTGAGCACCAGACTACCATACAGTCTTAGCCCAAACCATTCCTAAAAGCCCACTTAAAATTAATCTAAGGAGGCTGGAGGAACATTTGTGGATTCCATTGACCAAAAAGCTTCATTTGACGGATCCAGGAGAGAGCCTTTCTGCTACCGGTATGTCACCTCCCTCTAGTCTAGAACATCATTCCCCTGAGGTGAAATTGGCCTCAACTCTCTTGCCCTCCCAGGAGGCCCTTCAAACTTGATTCTGCCCTCAGGTCTGGAGATCTCATGGAACTATGGAGCCCTTTGAATGGTTGCATGCATATAAGTTTAGAATGTACTCTCCCCATCTTTTTGTTATTATAGTTATTTTAACCATTTTAACTTTATTTTACTTGTTTTAATTCTGTGGATTGTTTGGCTTTTACTTGTGTATGTCACTCAGATGACAAGTGTAGGATGGGTGGCTATATAAATTGAATAAATCAGTAAATAAAACCTGAAAAGCTAGCTGAGATATTATATTTAAAAAGTCTATAGTGCTTAAACATTTTACCCTATCCTGTAATGCTGGACATAAAGTTATGACAACCTAGAAATCACTACTTTATTTTGCTCAGTTAGGAAAGGGAATTCAAAGAGAAGTCTGTATTTTTATGAGCAGATGTTGAGAGAAAAAAGAGTGAATTAGAAGGAAATAAAATATCCTGCTTTGAGTGGTTAATCCGCACAGGATTACCAAAGCTCACTGTGGTTGTATTCACATGAGAAACTTCTTAATGCTTTAGCTAATTAACCCAGCAGTCATAAATTAACCATGGCCTCACATGATAGTATTTTCTCGTTCAATGCAACACATCCTTCTTTCCTTGACTGTTCAACCATAGCAGTAGCATTTAGCACTTAGACTTCTATACTGCTTCACAGTGCTTTTCAGCCTTCTCTCAGCATATTGCCCCCAACAATCTGGGCCCTCATTTTACTGACATTGGAACGATGGAAGCCTGAGTCAACCTTGTTTACTTTTACCTTTGGTTTTGTTTGGATATTCTACAGCCTTTATAATCCCAGGAGAAAAAGGATTAAATTGCTGTTGAAACTGTTCTTGCTCTTTTAATCTCAGATAGTCTTTTTAAACTAAAAGCTTATCTCAGAAAAATAAGCTATATTCTTATTCTGAATATATTTTTAATGTTATTCTATATTTTTGCATGATAACACTTTATAGTTTTTCTTCTATTTTTATTAGTGTTGGATTAAACTTCCTCATATAAGAATGTCTCTTCTTGAGATTGGTAGTCTTCCTTTTTAATCTTTAGGACTGGCAAGAATGAATTGAGTGATATACCTGCTTTATTTATTTGTTTACTCGCTTGTTTATCAAATTTATTAGCTGCCTATCTTACCACCAGGTAACTCTGGCAGATTACAATCATAAAAGATAAATATATACATATAATAAAACATAAATAAATACTTTCATAAACTACTTTGCTGGTCAGCAATCCCTTTTATGGTGGCCTGTATGAGTAATCATCAAACCAGCAAGAGAAGCAGGTGCCTTCAAAAAATTGACATGCATTTCATAGTATCATTGTAAGGTGGTGCTGATAAATTTGCATAGGCATTCAAGGAATGATAAAGTGATAATAGAAGAGTTGGATCCTGGGCTTGATCCCCAGCATGAAATAAAACAATCATTACTGAGGGAAACAATTAAAACTTATATGGAAGAATTGAATTAAGTAGACTTTGGTGTTTAAAATATTCAACTAAAAATGAATATACATTTTATTCAAGAATGCACTGGTATTTTTTAGGCTTGATTTTTTTAAATATCATTGACTTTAAATCACCAAATTCAAGAATACAATATTGATGTTTGTTATGTATGCAATCATAGTGCAGTTACCTTTAAATTTGTCTTTCAGAAACTGGTTAAGGTATCAAGAAATTACTATTTCAACATTTCCCTATTGAATGATAAAGAATTTGTACAACAAATGCCAGTAGAGACCTTACAATTCTCTGATTTGAATTCAGAAATATCAAGTGCCCAACTTTTTGAATGGGAAAGATATAAAACATTTATTCAAAGTCAAATTATTCCTTATGCATCATATAAAGATAAGATTAAAAATAAAAGAGAAAAGAAAATAATTTGGAAGATAATAATAATAATAATAATAATAATAATAATAATAATAATAATAATAATAATAATAATAGTAAGTCATCTAGTCCAACCCCCTATTCAGGCAGGACAAATGGCTGTCCAGTCTCTTCTTAAAAACTTCCAGTGTTGGAGCATTCACCGCTTCTGGAAGCAGGTTGTTCCACTGGTTAATTGTTCTAACTGTTAGGAAGTTTCTCCTTAGTTCTAGGTTGCTTCTCTCTTTGATTACTTTCCATCCGTTGCTTCTTGTCCTGCCTTCAGGCTGTAACGATGCTAAGAAAAAGACTCAGGCATTTCTTGAGCAGAGGTTTGAAGCTGCAGGACACAGCTTGACAAACTCTGAGTTTATTGCTTCTTATATACTTTTTACATACATAGGCTTTACCATTAACTGCTGACATTTTACATTCATAAGTTTAACCTTTAGCTGTTGACATAAAGTAATTGAAAAATTCCTTCATATAAGCAATTATTTTCTAGTAAAATATTACCTGTTGAGAGCAGGTAAAAACAAATACAGGTAGATTAGAAAAGGAGAAAGAACTGACAAAGACAGGAAGAGATAAAGACAGGAAGAAATAAAGACAGGAAGAGATAAGGGGAACTTAAAGCATATTATTTATTTAGGTAGGTAAGGTATTAAGTCAAAAGGGGGTGATCTTTTGGCTGCTTCCTTGGGACAAAGGGTATCAAAAGGTTATGAGGTTTGTAGGGGGGGAAAGCATGGCAGTTTGCTGCACGTGCAGTTTTCCCCACATCTCACTCTTCTTTATTTTATTAGTGAAAACATCATCTTAAGCTGGAGTAGTTAGTGGGTCTTAGTTTAGTATGGAAGATTGCAAGACATCTTATTAAGTAAAGAGAAAAGACATTGAAATAAACAACAACAGCTGATAAGGACAGCAACTATTATAATGAGATAGTGAACAATCTTTCCAAGAAGGCCAATGGGAAGCCATGACCATAGAGCACTCCACCAATTTCCTAAGGTATCAATTTTTAAATCAGAAACCAAGTTATGCATAAGAGCCGAGGTGGCGCAGCAGTTAGAGTGCAGTACTGCAGGCCACTTTAGCTGACTGTTCAGCAGGTCAGCGGTCCAAATCTCACCGGCTCAAGGTTGACTCAGCCTTCCATCCTTCCGGGGTAGGTAAAATGAGGACCCAGATTGTTGGGGGCAATGTAAATATATATATATATATATATATATATATATATATATATATATATATATATATATATATATACATTGCTTACTGGTGTACACCGCTTAGAGAGTGCTTGTACTTAAAGCGGTATATAAGTCTCATAAATAAATGTAAAACATTTAATTTGCTTTTGAATAACGCCAGATTGATCAGAAACATTGAAATAACACAAAAAAACTGAAGCTGGGACACACACAGGTATAAGACAGGTAGAGAATAGATTTTCCATGTCATATGATTCAGAAATACAAAAGTCTGTCACTTGTGTTACATTAGCTAATTGCACCCAAATATTATATTTCATCCATGATTCTAAAAGATGAGGTGGGAGGGCTTGAGCCCCCACACAGCAATTAAGGACAAAGAGGCAAAGAATGACTAAGGAATTTGCAGTCAAAACCACAAATATGGCAGCGCATAAATTCTCTGGTGTAGGTTCTTTTCCCTGTTGTCTCAGAACCTCCTGTGCTTTGGATGTTAGGTTTTTCACATCGCCCCAGGTTGTTGGTCAACTGCGATGGCGAGAGCGAAAGGGACGTTGTGCTGTCTGAAGAGTCACCTGCTTCATTTCCAGTATTGGGTTCTGGACTTGATGCCATGACATCTTTGGCTGGTCGCACACACCAGGCTGGAATCCAGAGAGGGCCTGTAGGAGCAAGCACAGAGCATAGCCTCGTCCCCAAGTTAATAAAGGAACTGGACCTAGCCAGGTTTTATCAGGCAATTGCCAATAATATACCAATGGATTAGGAAGCACAGCTTTCTGTTGAAAGTGACACTGGTAGGCAGTAGTGTTTTGAAAAGAAATATTTAGCTGGTTTAAAGTTATTAAGACTTTATTGACTTGATGAGTTATCCATGCCAAATTAGGTACCCTTGATCCCTCCTTTTTTAACTGCTTATGAAGGCAGTCCTTAAAGGACCGATACATATGTGAGAAACAAAGGATAGCTGCTGTAAAGTTAAAAACAAAGCCATAAGATTGGAGTTGATCCTGGGCCTGATGTAAGCACCTGTAAGATTAAAAATAAGTTGGCACACATAATGAGAATCAGAGATTAAGTTAAAAGTCTGTTGAGAAAAGGTGTGGAAAGCTAAAATAGCAGCAGATAATTCTGAGCGTTATGATGAGGATTGTACTGCAGTGTAGGCAGATGATATGAAATACAGCCTACATATTCAGCATTGAAGAGATAAGTTATTCTGAAAATAAAATTGAAAATCAAATTTTGGGATAGAAATAACAATATTAATTAAATCAGTCCCATTTCAAGGACAAGCTTGATTGTGTCCTAAGGTTATTTCAGCAACAGCCTGGATAAAAGATAAAACATTTTGGGATGGGATAAGTAAATCCATTCAATACAATATACTTTTTTGCGCTTCTAACACAGTAAATACTCCTGTAAGTAGCTTACTAGTAAGAAATATCAAAAGTGTTAAGTGACAATTCCTATGTGGAATTCTGTCCACAAATTGAGTACTCAAGTACTTAATTTGCTAAACTGTGGTAAATGCTGGAACTACAAATGAGATCTCTAGGTTGTTTTCCTTTGGTCAATAAGTTAAATTCCAAGTTAATCAAAGATGGAAACAAATTTCTATTAAGTAGGTTAAACATTTACAAAACTTAAATTTTGCCAGCTGAAACTGCAAGAGCGGGGATTAAATTTCATCTCCATTCGCAAACTGGAATTCTAAGCAGAGAAGGAAAAAAAGTTTAAAATGAACAGTTCCCCCCCCCTTCTTTCTTTTGGTCTATCTTGCTCTTAAAGCAACACAGCCAG